ACAAGCGGCGCCAGCGACTGGCAGGCATGCAAGGATTCACACTGAAATACAGGACAACCGTCTTCGTTTTTCATAAAATTAAAATTTACAGTTCTTGAACTTGAAAACAATCCGAAGATTCATTGAAAATATCACTAACTGCGAAGCGCTCGGCGTCTACAGATGTTCAAAAGCTTTTTCTGTTATGGCGCGTATCAAGAAAAACTGATCAAATTCAAAGACAATGCCCTTTGTTTAGTATCTCAAATATCCATAAAAGGATATCTTGAAACAATAGCTTTAGAGCCAAACAATGGGTTATTAATTCACGAGGGAAATTCGAACTCGCTGCCATTACAATAGCGAAATTCACGAGGTAAATTCAAACATAGCCGATTACTGCACGAGCGCGAAATTTGAATATTAGCAAAAGCGCTTTTATGTCAAATCTTACCCTGAGGAGGAGTAGGGAGTTACTTTTTGTTCAAGGTCACTTGCTACTCAGGGAGGGTCGGTCAAGACACAAAATGTTGCAACTGAGAGACTGACAAAGAGTGCTGAAACCAAATGAAATTTGTGTGAATGGTCACGAATGAAACTTGTTTGAATTAAACTCATTCCGTGAAAAAATCGCATCACCATCGCAAGCTCGTGTAACCGCGGCTTTAGAACAGGGTCTTGGTTTGCGTTTGTTGCGCATTGATATTGACGAAGTTTTTCATCCTCTGGAAATAAGAACAAACAAAAATCCAGATGAATTTGAATCCTTTGAGTGAGATTGAGGACAAAATCGATCATTACGTTTCGTATCGTGTGTTTTTCCTGTGTGAAGCAACAAAAGATGCGACTAAGGAAATTAAAAGTTATCACGAAAATCAAATAACACCTAAACAAACAATTTTAGCTACCGATTTTCAGTGAATTTTTAAAGAACAATTTTCTTTTAAGTTTCAAGACAATTTGAAGAGTCAAAATAAATATTACGTACTAAAATGCGAAAGTTATACACCACGAAATTGATAAATAGGCCTGAAATGAAATTCTATCTTGTTGTTGAATATACGTTGCCTAGCACGTGACTTAAATCTACCCAGGCGGAGATCCAAAATGACGGTGGCAGTCTTAGCTTAGTTATATCACTCAAAACTCGTTCCCGTTTGTCTGATTTGATAAAGAGGGAATCGTTAATGTTTTGATTAAGACAGTACTGCCTTGGTTTTCTAATATTTACAATGATAGACAGTAAATTACACTTTTCACCCACATTTACTTCCAACCTTTTCTTTTGAACCAAAAACAAAAATGATATACGTTTAAAACACATGACATCATCCACCCTTGTCAAATGTAATAGCGTGATCATTTCAATTGTAATGCCTTCTTATCCCAACGTTACTTTGTTTCTTTGCTACATTAGCGAACACTGAACTACTGCTCGTACTCTAGATATGACAATCAACCACAAAATTCCCTAAACCAGATAACATTAAACATAATCCAAAAAATCGTGTCAGTTCACGAGTTTGCTCACAGAGCACTTTGATTTTCCACAGATACCTATAAACTGATTAGTACGGATATTAATCCTCATGATTTATTCTACAACCAGTAAAATACTAAAAATGGCATAGTTTTACTTTTTTGGCACATTGTGTTGGAAAGAGCTTAATAATAGTAATAAAAAAAAATAATAATAATAAAAATGATAATAATAGCAATAATAGTAATAATATTTATAAATGGAAAATTAACTATGGATATTCCACTAGGTGGCTCTTCTTTTCCACTGTTTTCAGACTGAGTTTTAATTTGGAGTGCTGGCTTTTGCCAATAAGGAGCCGGAAGATTTATCCTTAGTATTTGCCCTCTCCTCTTGGAACTTGGGGTTTTCGTTCTTTTACATCTTTAATATCCTCGCTAATTCTGGCTGCGTAGGTTTCCTAGAGGGAAGAATCTCGTTTTCAATAATTTTCCTCTATTGTCTGTTCCTCTTGTCAATCAAATATATATATTTTTCGTTATTATAGTAATTATAAAATCTACTGGTGCATTGAAATAATAATTATAATGATAATAAACGACTATGAATATATGAAAGTCATAAATTTGAACTGCAGATAAAGACGCGAATATGAAAGCGATCTTTGCAGTAATGAACACTACTTGAGCAGTAGTGAAAATAAGGCCTAAAAAAATTCAGGCCCGTACGGAACTCGAACCCATGACCCCTGCGATACCGGCGTAGCGCTCTACCAACCGAGACAACCGGGTTTATTTGGAACTATCATAATGACCAGCCCCCAGTTGGCTTGTTGGCTCGGTTGGTAAAGCGCTGCACCGGTTTCGTAGGGGTCATGGGTTCTCCGCACAGGCCTGAATTTTTTTCCAGGCCTTATTTTTACTACTGCTCAAGTAGTGTACATTACTGCGAAATAGCTTTCATATTCGCGAATAATAATGGTACGAATAATTTCCTCGTTTCTCAAACCATTCTCTCTCATGATATTTTTCAAGGATTTGCTTCTCTCTCATGGCAGTTGTACTTTCCAAATAAGCATTATTCAATGCATTTGGTTTTCGGTTTGAAATCTTTAGTCACAAATGGACATGTTAGATTAAGGATTTTTGATAGAAGTTTCCAGATCTATAGCTTTTTTCGACTGCAAAATTGTAATTATGTAGAGGACTTTTATGCTAATTTTCTTAATTTAACTGGTAGTTTTCTCAAGATTAACATTATTATGGGCCGTTTTTGACTATCGATTCTAGTATCTCACAAAAGAGGATAAAGTCTCGGCGCACTGTGCGATCTAATACCTATTGAAGTTTTGAATGTGTCCTTGCTTACACCTAGGAATTCCCGATATACCAGCAGTATGCCATTTAGAAATGAAACCGAGAAGCCAGACGTAACGGCAAGAGTTCAGTACTCCTTTGTAATTCCCCGCCTCTAGTTCAGTAATTGCATATTTATCGCGGGGAATTATAATATTCACAAAATCTCGTTGTCATTGAGATATTTATAATAAAGCACATCCCACAACCTTTGTGGCTTCCACGTGATGAAATTGCTTATACGTCAATAGACGAACGAAATAATGAAATACCCCGTTATCGTAACGCCGCTGATGAATTGTTAAACCGTTAGTAAATATATTTTTTAATGTGTCGTATAACTGCTCAGCTGGTTATTGCATCGTTCAATGTTTTTAGATTTTTTCAAAATCATCTCGAAAAGCGCAAGGGCGTAACGTGAAATTTCTAAGGTGTACGGACGAGTAGAAAATATTGAGCGGCGCTCCAAACTCGGGGGATCTAGGGGCATGCTCCCCCCAAAATTTTTCAAATTAAGGGTCTCGGAAATGCCATTTCCTGCGCTTTATGCAAAGTATATTTAGTAAATGAATACGAAGGAAAATGCTTTATTAAATGTGTTTATTTTCCCCATCTTTAATGTTATCGGTAAGGTATAGTGTTACTTAAAATAAACCTCAGCTACATGGCAGCAGAAAGTTGTACATAAATTTATACTCAGGTATTATGCAGCTATTTGATTGTCGGATATTTACCAAAAGGCATTTGCAAAACAAAATCTTCCTGTCACTTAGTGATTTTTCAATACCGCGCCGAAAAAAAAAAAATGCTGATCAATATAGCCCTGAATAACACATCAAGGTCATGAGAATAAAGGAAAGTTTCTTTGTAATAGCGCTTAATAAAATGTATAGATTAGAGAAGGGGGAATATGCATACTGATGTTAGGGTCTAAAGGGTTAAAATACAACTGCAGTATGTATATTGAAAACAAAGGAAACCAGAAAAAGTCTAATCAATATACTATGCAAAAAAGCAAATTGTTTAGTGTTCCATTCAAAATGCTTTCTGTGTGCCTGTGAAAATCATTTAATTTTTCTGTTTAAAACTTTTTATCTTCCCTTTCTGTTGACTTTTAGGAACACTGCAGGACAGTGGATCAACGAGTTTTTAATCTTAATCACCATAGATGTTATTTTTTACATATTGGCTCATGTATCACAGCAGTTTGTCAGCCCTATTTCAAGAAAAATGGCAAACGTATCCTTTGCTCTATGGCAGGTAAGTTTGACTGAAAATAGAAGTCCCCTATACAAACTAGAAATGGTACAGGAAATCAAATCCTGGTTGCTAAGAAACACCGCCCAAGAAATATATGTTAGTGAGCGTGCGAGACTGAATAAGACATGTATGTCTCCGGTATTTTGTTTTGTGTGGACCTTAAATTTTCATTACATAGTATTTTGAAACATGTTATTTCTTGTGTTAAGTGAGAAGTATGTAATAGGGTGACCGAATCTGAAAATCTGTCATGGGGAAACTTGCTTTTCCACGGCATGAACACGAATGGTACAATTAGTAGGGGTTGGAAACTTTACGTTGATGCAAACAGATATCTGGCTAGGAAACGTTCAAATAAATTCTAAATGTGTTTGTAAGATAGAGAGTATCATAGACATGCTACACCAACTGTACAAACTGTAAGTTTGAATTCATTCAACAGAGACAAAAGACAGCTAAATTGCACTTAATAAGGTTACTTCATAAAGTATGCTCGTTGGAGGTCTTTTAGTTTTGATGTTTTTTACATTTTGGTTTAGTTTAGTATTTCCTTTTAGGTTTTCAATATTATTTTAAGCCAGTGACATAAATTTTATGCTATGCACATGCGTCGTTAAGTACCAGTCAAACTATTGGTACAAGTTTGTCACTAACGGCTTGTTACAGTAAAATGCCATTTCGACGCCTCACGCGCACACAGCATATGATGCCGAACATATCATGAGTTAGCCGTCATCCCCATGTCTTTTTACGTTAGAATTCGTCGGTCTTTGGTTTCATTATGCAGTACCTCTCGAAAAGGGAGAGCTCTCCCCCAACATGGCCACCCCTCCGCGAACTAAACCGAGCATGAACGCTACTTAAGCCGCTATCAAAATAAGAGCTTCTCAAAGTGCAAAGACACAAGCTAACGAGACACTTTCGGGACAGGTAACGAATGAGAATACTTTATTAATTATTTAAATCTATCAGTTACACTCTACAACGATGTTCCTCTTTCCCTAACGAACGAATTAGTTTTACATCTCTTTATAAATGCATGGAGATCACTCTGATTGTTCTCTTTGCATACTGACACTCGACAAAGCCACATAAAATACCTCAATAGAAATCATCGAGGAAAAATTAAATGATTATCATTGACGTCATAAAGAAGTCTTATTTAAATGGGATATATAAGAATTACAACTATTTACAATGCTTAATTGAAGCTGTATATTATTTGAATTACAAGGTATGTGCCAGAAAAAAAAAAGATAGATATTTTTCAACAAACTTTATGACTCAAAGTCACCTAAACTAAATACTTTCTAAGTCATAATTTTCCCATCTTTTAGAAAAGTATATGTTCTTTTCTTGCCAGACATCATAAACCATAAAATCCAAGTAGTCAGCAGCTTCATAAATCGAATGGAAGCTTAGAATTCCAACCCTCTTTTACGGCCTCAAAAGCAGATCGTATGGTGTATTCCAGATATCCACCGAAATTGTAATACGCTCTGTTCACCAAGAACACATCTTGTCCAGCTAGCGGTCGTCTTGCCCATTGCTGAATGGTCGTTGAGCTAAAGTTGGCCCCAGGCTTCTGAAAAAACCTACGTCATTGAATAATGAAACTCTTCATTAAAAAAACAAAAACAAAACAGAACAAAAATGGCGCAGAATTGAACCTGTCGAAAGTGAGCAAAGTTGGCACTCGCTCGTTGACAACGGATCTCTTTCTCCTTCTCAAGAGCTCTCTATTAAATATCTGCTAAACGAAACGACTGCGGGCGGAAAATCGAGGGCCACTCGTTCATCCACATTCACACTCACTGTGTTCAGCAGATATCAATAGGGGAGACTATACGGAAAAAGAAGATATGATCTCACATTTTCCTGCAATGAATACGCATTATACAAGTCCGAAAACTTAGAGCATGGGTTTTGAGACGAAACCAAACGCAGATCATTGCTGTTTGCTGTTGACGAGAAAAAGATATTACAACTTAAGAATCGAGCGGAAAACTGTCTTAAGAACATTTTTATCAGAAATGGCGTTTTTGATAAGACAAAAGCAATAATAAATGATTATCATACTTTTTTTTTATCTTTCAACACTGCACTTACCAAAACTCTTCCTTCCAATATTTGTAAATAGTCTCCAAAGGATCTGGAATATCACGTTGAAACTTGTACTTCAGAGCACGTTTCAGTTCTTTGTTGATGACATCATCAGATGTAGAAATCTCCAAAAGTTTCCCCCACTTATCGCTGCATCCTCCGTTATTAGCTATTGTGTGCAAGACAGCTCTTCCGCTGGTTCCATTACCACTACCAAAAAAAAAGGAACCGGAACAGGCTTTTGAGTGACAAGTCACAATAATACAATGTAGTTCATTAACTATTTTGGCACGAGCGTGATATGTCAAAAAACACCACCTGGCTTTATTTGCTTCATCATAGTCCAGCTCGGGAGTATCAGAGTGATATTTCCTAGTTTTCCAATTTTCAATCCCCTTTTTTCTATATAAATGGGCAAACCTTTTGATGCTATTTCACAATTGGGATTAAACTTGCTAGCCCATAAGATATACTAAGAACATTGTAGAAGTCAGCTTTTTTACGCAGAGGGAAATTATGCGCCGATCAATTCGATGTTTCAACATCCCCCGGGGCAACCCATGGAAATTTGACCGTTCTTCGCGAGCCGGAGGTAGGGAATTCGAACCTTGTCTGAGAAGCGTGTGTAATTTAAATCCGTGTAATACGTATTTTGATTTTAAAGGAGAAGTTTAGAAGTTGAGAGTCCGCTTTCGTGGGCGAGTGGCCTAGAAGAATACTCTCACATTGTAAAATGATGCTTACAAGAGGAAAATCCAACAGCGGCCCAAAAAACTAAGTAAGTGAGTGCTAAATTCTTTAACATTCGTTGATCACACAAAGACTCGTTCGATAAAAAATTGTGTTTGAGTGGAGCATGCTAACGCAATTTTGGCCCAGGGGCGGGAATTTGAGTAAACCATTCTTAAATAGTTCAAATACCCCGAGGGAGGATTCACCGTGGAGATATTGAGGCTTCGAATTGATTGACGCATTATTTTGAAACTTTATGGAAGGTTGTGACGATTTATGAGTACTGACTTGTAAGGCATGGTAATTCCCAGGCAGTTACTGCTGGATATGAACTTCTCCAAAGGCTGCAAACTGTTGTTCTTTTGAGTGGCAGTTATATCATTCCACCATGGTTTATCATATACCGCTGCCCCATAGAAAGCAGGCACACCAACAATTGATTGAAATATTTGATGACCAGTAATATTCTGAATGACGTCACCTTCGATCTTCTTTAGAGCAGCTGGTCCAACGGCGATAACTGTTTTATTGGCTTTTACAGTTAATTTGGTGGTTTGAAGAAGAAATTTATCTCCTTCTTTGTTGATAGAAACAACTGTCTCATCCGAAGTAATTTTACGGCCTCTACTTTCCACTTTTTTTCTAAGCTCTGTGACAATTTCGGACATTCCTTTGGAATTAGGAGGTCTTCTGGTCTCTGATGATGGGGAGGTAGCATGTAATTCTTCCTGAAGATAAGTTCTATAACTCATTGGATTTATGTCTTGCATGTAGTCACCCTGGAGGCCAAACTTTTCTGCCATAATCTTGGTTCCCTCCGGGGACAGTTCGTACGAAAGGAAAGTCTCCGCGGTTGAGAACTGCGTGAAATTCCTCTGATTTTTAGAGATGAAATCTGCAGCTTCCCTGAGTGTTCCATTGTTGAGTGGCGGACGGTCCCGTAAAGTTGGAAATGCCTTTAACTTCAAATCATCAAAGCTATTGGCAAACTGTCCACGAGCTTCAACACGTTTAGTTTTTGGTGCCCACAAGGCTTCATTGTCGTTGAATAAATGATATAAAAGGTCCCTGAAAATGAAAACAGAAATTAATTAAACTGTACTCGTTTCCTTCAAATTTGTGTCTGCGTCATAAATTGTTCGTAGTTTACATTCTGTCATAACCTCTCAATAATTTTAATTTGCCATGCGATGTTATGGTCATCATTACTGGCCCTCCTTATTTGTTTCTGTTTTTCTCTCTCCTTTATTCTTCGATGTTCATGGTTAAATGAAACAAATCAGAGTTCAAGATGCGCATGATACGCAAGTAACGAAAATTTGCCTCACTCTCAAGATGTTGCTCAGTTAGCAGTGGCGCCTAATTAATATTAGCGGGGAATGGGTTCCAATCCCTTCGAAGCCTAAATAAGACAAATAAGTCCAGGCCGCAGTTCATTTGTGAGGATCAGTTCTTCTCTGATAGCTCATCTATGCTTGGATTTCCTTATATTACATATTTCATGGTCAGCATTCACTCATAAGGAAATATCATGCAATGGCTCACTTATCACGACACAGTCTTGTACTCTTAAAGGTTCTAAGGTGTCTTCAGAAAACTGTCACGATTCATATTTATTGTCTACCAACTAAGTAATACGTCTGAGTTAAATTGACGCTTACATTTCTGCACCGTGTCCATCGGTAATGTCCCACTGCCCTAAGCCTGAAAAAAAAAAAAAAAAAAAAAAAAAAAAAGGGAAACGTTGTCCTCATACGTTGGTGGAGCGAGTAAACGATGTAAATTAACTTTTTAGTCCTTGATTCAACGATAGCTATCGATTGCTACATAGATACAGCTTGACTCTTGGTGTTATGTTAAACTTACCAACTACAACATCCGGTACTTGGGGAAAAATATGGTCATAGATGTTTCCAGCGCTGTCCTCTGTGTCGAAGACGCACACGTTTGTTTCATTCGTCTTGTCAAGAAGTGAATATGCCACCAATAAGCCACCCGCACCTACAAATTAAGAAAATAGACTTTAAAAAGAATTGAAAAGATTACCAAAATAATTACTTGAATGCGTGACTTTCTATAACAATATCAAAAAAACTATCTGAAAACGTGACAAGGGTGTTATCTGAAAGTGTTATCCTGATATAATAACAAATTCCCTTACTTACTTCGAAATAAATTTATGGCAAGTACGAAAAATAAAGGGTTAAAAGACTTGAACAGTTCACGTTTAAGATACTCAAGAGTAACGATCCCTTGCAGAATTTGATGCCAAACGGCGATATCCAGTTCTCACCTGCTCCAACTATGGCTGTGTCGCACTCTATAATATTTCTTTGAGGGTCCGTGGTAGGTACTGCCGTTGTTGGCCCAGCAGTTGATGCTGAAACAGTAGCTGTGGTCATTGCGCCAGTAGCTGTAACTGCAACAGTTGTTGTTAGTTTTTCTATAGTTGTTGGAGTAGCAGTTGATGGTTTTTCTGTGGTTTTTGGTTGAGCTGTGGTTGTTGGGGCAGCTGTTGATGGTTTATCTGTTGTTGTTGAGGCAGCAGTTGTTGGTTTTTCTGTGGTTGTTGGTTGTCCTGTGGTTGTTGGAGCAGTGGTTGTTGGAGCAGTGGTTGTTGGTGGAGCGGTAGTTGTTGGTTTTTCTGTGGTTGTTGGTTGTGCTGTGGTTGTTGAAGCAGTGGTTGTTGGTGGAGCTGTAGTTGTTGCTTTTTCTGTGGTTGTTGGCTTTGCTGTGGTTGTTGGTGCAGTTGTTGTTGGTGCAGTGGTTGTCGGTGGAGCAGTAGTTGTTGGTCTTTCAGTGGTTGTTGGTTGTGCTGCGGTTGTTGGAGCAGTGGTTGTTGGAGCAGTGGTTGTTGCTTTTTCTGTGGTTGTTGGTTTTACTGTGGTTGTTGGAGCAGCTGTTGTTGGTGGAGTAGTAGTTGTTGCTCTCTCTGTAGTTGTTGGCTGTGCTGTAGTTGTTGCTTTTTCTGTGGCTGTTGGAGCAGTGGTTGTTGGAGCAGTGATTGTTGGAGCAGTGGTTGTTGGAGCAGTGGTTGTTGGAGCAGTGGTTGTTGATGGAGCAGTAGTTTTTGCTTTCTCTGTGGTTGTTGGCTGTGCTGTAGTTGTTGCTTTTTCTGTGGTTGTTGGTTGTGCTGTGGTAGTATCCTGCGTTTTCTTTGGTCCTGTCGTGGTTTCGGTCGTTGCTTCTGAGGTAGTAGTAGAAGGCGTAATTTTCACCGTTGTTTCCTGAGGAGTTGTTGGTTTCTGACTGGGTTTCGACTCAGTTCCCTTGGATGAAGGAAGAGGTTCTGTTGGTTTCTCTTTAGTTGTTACGTCCGTTTCTTTGGTTGTGCTTGTCCCTTCATCTTCTGATAAGATAATGAAAAAAGTTAAACATTCGTTTAGCAATTTTTTTTGTTTTTGCCTTTTTTTTCCTGGAAACATCAAAATAAAATAACTTTCCTGTTTTTGCCTTCATTATCAAGATGATAGTTAATGACTTTGATGGCTATAAATAATAAACAATGCGGTATTTGACACTTCATAGCGTCGTTGCGTGACATGACGATATTGCGTTACATTTAAAATAGGACAATACTGCGCATCATCCCGCCCATACTTCTCCCATACTGGTCTAAGTCCGTATTATTAAATCTATGGGGGATGGGGGATTGGCCTGTGGCCTCTGAAATGGAGTTGCACTAATATTTTGTAATTTTTTATGATTGTTTTTGGACCAGGTGTGGTTGATGCTTTAGTTGTCGTAGCAAAGGTTTGAATTTCCGCGGTTGTCAGTTTCCTTAGCTGTTGCTTAAATTCTCTCGGTACTGTTCAAGTAGTCCTTCTAAGTATAAGGAATATGCAGGCGTGAAACTCCCCATCACGCCGATTTACACAATTTAAAGCAATCAGTGGATTGTAGCTACAGACAATTTTCCTTAATCAATCTCCCTTCCTGAGAGGCAATTGATTACCACGATTAAAGAAAGCTTCGTATAGATGAAATTGAACCGGCACCTTGATCAACCTGCTTTGCGAGCGGTGATCATGAGATCGGTGACCAGATTCCGCGTGAATCGTAATGGAAACGAATTTCCCCGGAAGAAATTTTCCCGCCTAAGGTGTGTCTATGCGCGGAAATTAGGGGAAAAATTGACTATCTTGGTACATTCCTTAATTTAAACAGAAAATATACTTTCAACAGAAAAGAAAGGTTAAAAAATCAAATTATAATTCATTAAAAGTATTATTCATGAAAATCCGATCGATTTCCGTTCAACAGTTGCAATTTTTCATTTGAAATAGGTCGGGATAGGCAGGAAGGAATCATGAACTGTAGAGCTACATCATCTTAGAAATCAGTTGTTGTCTTGTGTTTTAAAATATCGCATCACAATCTAATAATTTCGTTTAGTAGCAACAACTCAGACCGCTGGTCTCGGAACAACTTGAGATCTATGCACCTCCATCACCATCACGAGAACGTAACTTCTAGCCAGGCAGCTTAGAGAGAAGCTTTTGAACAATCGGGATATCTAAATCTAGATCGGAAAACAGAAGCTTCAAAGGGCCAATATCTCGTTCCAAAATGATTTTATAAAACCTCAAAGTCTCTACCTCGATATATTCAGAGGTTATTGAGATTCGCACCAACAAGAAAAAGAGAATGTTATCTCGTACGTGGCATTCGGTTAAGTTGTCATTATTGCAACTATTTCCAGAAAAAGCGATTTCAAATGAAGTCTAAGTACAAATATCGATGCAGTACCTGATCTAGGGGCATACTTTGCCGATACACCCGCCACAACTGCTATAATGGTGAGTATCATGGTCAAGAGCAATAGAATATGCCATACTCGAAAAGTGCATGTCTTTTGCAAAATATACTTTTCCTTTGTGATCCCGAAGCCCTCTTCGCATATACTCAGAGTTGTCGAGCTGTCGAATGTGCTCTTGGTAGTCATTTCATCAGTAGTCATTGCAGTTTCCGTGCAGTATCATTGCAGGCCCTGAAGGGTCGAACCTCCTCTTTATAGCTTTATTCGAAACTATGACATACCGATAACACTTCTCTGACTGAGTTCGCCACCAAATGACAGGAAGGAAAACCTCCTTCAGCCTCAGTAACATGGCTGTTTTTTCATTTACCCCACCAAAAACCACAGAGCTCTTTTTTGAAAAATATATGAAAATCTTATAGTCATCTATAACTCCTACAGTGAATCTCTAAAGAAGTGTCGTTGTAACGTACACAACTACATTGGTCACGCATACACGGCTGACTTGATTTACATGTTTCCCTAGTGACAGGACCTAGTGTTACACGCAAAGGATGCTGGGATGGTCGTTGAATGACATTTCAATAGAAGAGGCGCTACGCTTGCTTGTTACATCCCGCAATGCAAAAAGATTGTCGATAACATTTATTTATGTATTGTTAGATCTTTCCCAAACGCAGCTTCTCATTCTTATCACCGCTTAATGTCTACAGTAAATATTATTTAAGGTGCTTTGCATCAAAATTTCAAATTCACAAAATTCATTCTGTTTCTTGAGATTCAGTGTCATAAGAATAGAAATATCATCTGCAACTAAAGCACATTTGGGCAAATATCATGCTTGATTAGTTTATCTTTACAACTATCTTTATCACCCTAAATTTTACTGGGAAAAATCGTTTTGAAATACAAATTTCTCCGAGAAAATACAACAGAATTAACAGCTTTTCTTTTAAGCTTGCTTAATGCTTGCTCAATGTTTTACTTCGGAGCAGTTCACGACCTCCAATTCTGACCCAGTAATCTATGCGATGCGTACTTGTAATCTTCATTCACCGACGGTGATGTACAATATCCTTACATTACTCTTTCTTGTCGGAGATAACTAATTGTCTTTGCAAATCATCATAAAACCGATCATTTACAGTTTTAGTCAGCACGTTTTAGAATATAACAGTTTGCCTCTCTGTAACATTGAAACGTTAAAAAAGACAATTTCCTGTGTGAGCTATAATTAGTTTTGGCGTTGCAAGTTCGATAATTGAATTCTTTTCACATTTCAATGTCATCTTTGATCATTTGATCATGATTTATTTTATATACATAGAATGTCCTCATACAATGCGCAATCCAATCGTCTCATGAGAAAGAACCAAAGCTAGATTAATATATTTTAATATTATGAAACGGAATTAAAGCCAAGATGAAATATGGAAGAAAACTCAAAGGTCGGTTTCGTATGTACCCGCCTCTGCTTTCAACAAACAAGTTTGACATGAAACAGCATTCCTTCGCGTCCACGTTACGTCAGCTCAAAGTCAACATATTTTATTTTCTTTCCTGTAGCACGAGACCTCCACTTTTGCGGTGGAAATTTTCAAGAAGAACAAACATCACGAACTATGTAACTGTTCTTTCTGTTTACCACATTTTAGCGGATCTACTGTGATATAATGCACGCTTAATTTTCCGTCGACCAATATTTCTTTAACAGAAGTCATGTTACAAATGGAAACCATTGGAAAGCTGTTAGTACGAGATCGAGCATACATCGAGTGCTTTTATCATTTTTCAAAAGGGTAAACAAATATAAATGTTGAATGTTTTTTCCTCACTCTATGAGTAAATCACTTCAAGTGAAGAGTCCCATTCTAGAATTTGTCGGAAAGTAAAATGATATTAACTTTATAATTGAAGGGCTTTATCATCTAAACTTTCTGTAAGCGATTTAGTTTCCTAAAAGTCATTACGTACTATTCAAAGTTAAGGTATCAATCCCTAATTTGAGGCAGACAAAGAAAATTAACACCTAACATTAAAGATCACGCAAGGAAAGTTCATAACCGTGTTGTTTAACCTGAAAGCCAAGTTGCACATACTTTGTTTAAATAGCAGTTGTCACAAGTTCAAACAAAGTTGCTAGGTGGTTAGTGAGGGTCTCGCATATCTAAGCTTTTTTTTAACGTTTTGTCTTGGTTTTGTTTATTTTGCCTTTTTGTTGTTGTTGTTATTTTCTTGACCATTTATCCCGTCTAGGGGTTTCGAAACTATCTCGAGGTCTTGATTTTCTAATATAATTGTTTTAATACCCACTGTACCCTGTCAAGCTAAGTTGGAATCATCACCAGTCCTACAACACCTCACGTTTATGGAAAGCTTATGAAACAAGAGCCTCCTAAGGAAATTATGTTTTTAAACAGACCACATTTGAAGAACTTTCATGGTCAAGGCGCTTTCACGCACAACCAACTCCGGTCAAGTAATAGATGTACGTGTGTGCATATCAAGCGTACATCAGACATTGTTTTCTAAGTTAATCTCTTTGACACTAGCTTTCACATGAAGGACTTGATTAATTTCGAAGCCCTCAAAATTAATCAATCACGGTGCCTTTGACATACAATTTTTGTGTTACAACTGATATAAAAACTGCTTCTTGAACGGTTTGTGAGTGATTTGAATGGCCCTTCGGCGTTTAAAATCGGCATAGTTGATAGGATTGCGCTAAGGGGAATTTTTATTCGGTAAATCTTATTTAATATATTGTTTGGGAAGCAACAAAACCTTACTAGCTCACTTTTCTGTTGGTGAGTACAACACACTTTTCTTTAAAAGTGTAAACACTCGAAAATCGAGACCTCTTCGAGGTGAAGATCTTTTGCTATAGAAATAACGATGACTGCTCCAATTCAGAAAAGGCTGCATTTCATCGAAAAGTGTTATTGATTTCCGGAACCGTGGAACATGGCATCATTACTCTTACGACGATTTTCGATTTCAATTAAATAAAGATATGTTAAATAGACACCAATAATAATAAAATTAAAAAAATTATAACAATAACAAACAAACAAATACCGAAGAGATACATATGTTTTGGTATACTATCAAGCATGTGCACGCACACAATTGTTAGGTGGTAATTTTGATTTTGGCGAGTGCTAACTAACTTCTTAGTTTCACAATACGTAATTGTGCGGCCAGACATTGTGACCTTGAAAAAATCACTCATCTTCAAATGAGACATTCAATTTCGTATACCTGTATAATCTTCTTCAAGAGTAGCTTTCCCGGGGCCAAAGATTGCAGCTAAAACTGCCATTTTGCTCACGATGACGAGTATTGCAAATAGCAATAACAGAAATTGCCATACTCGAAAATTGCATCTAAGATATCTTTTGTGACAACAATCGCAGCTTGCTGAAGAGGATCGGCCTTTCGTAACATGATCTCCATCCTCGCTGATTTTAAGAATTGATGAGGGCTCGAGTGGCTGTGGATGTACAGAAGACATTTTGAAGCAGTTTGAATAAGGATCTAAACAGTGCGTTCTTTGGACCTTCAAGTTTTGACTCGGGTTGAAGGTTTGTGAGAAATTCGATCTTTTTGAGTTGACTCTTTTGATTGCGTTTCCCGCGCGTGAATGACATGGAAAAGACAGATCCTCATGCTATGATAAACAAGAACACATGTTCTTGCAATTTATTATTCACCCATCAATTCAGTTTGCTTTTAGAACAAGTCAGGATAGTCGTACAGTAATCACCTCATTCTAAAGATTTTCTAGAAGAGCTGTCACTCCTATCACAGTCACATACGTGCCAGCGCTCAGAAAGAGCTCACGCCCTCACTAGCACTTATCACGCTCACGTTGCAGAGATGACAAAAATTAAAATAAAAAGCGTACGGCTTCTTTCCGAAGCTTTTTTCTCATACAAATTGTTGCAAAGTGATCTTTGACGAGACCGAGATTAAAAGCAAGTTTCAATCTATTTCTATACCTTGATAAATTTTGCTTGCCATAATGCATTTCCAGTAACTGATTCATAAATAGTGACCGTATTTAACAACGAACATTCCACTAGGTGGTTTTTCGTGTCCACTGTTTTCAGATCGAATTTGAATTTGCGGTGTTGGCTTTTGCTTATACGGAGCCAAAGGATTTATCCTTAGTATTCACCCTCTCTTAGAAATTAGGGTTTTCTGTTCTATTATATCTTTGATATCCTCATTACTTTTGGCTGCCTAAGTTTCCAAGAGGGAAGAACCTCGTTTTCAAAAGTTATCCTCCATTTTCCGTCCCTCTTATCAATCAATTATGTCGTTGCTATGGTAATTATCAAATCTACTGATGCATTAAAAACATTAATAATAACAATGATAATAAAAATAACTACAATAATACTGATAATAATAATAATAATAGTGGTATAAATAATTTTATCGTTTCGCAAACCGTTCCCTCTCATGATATTTATCAAATATTTGTTTCTCTCTCAAGTAGGCCTGGTTGGAAGATTCGAGAATAAAGGTCGCTTAAGCTTTTTGGTGATAATTTTTTTTTCTGTTTACCTGTGATAATCGTTAAATGTTTCTGTGTAAGAATTTTTATGATCCTCTTCTGTTGATTTTTTAGGAACACTGTAGCACAGTGGATCAAAGCGTTTTTAGTCTTAGTCATCATAGATATTATTTTTTAGATATTGGCTCATGCATAACAGCAGTTTGTCAGCTTTATTTCAAGGAGAATGGCAAACTTATCTTTAGTCCTGTGACAGGTAACTCTGTCTGGTCCTGTAGACATCATAACAAAATGACAAAGGAAAATATGTCTGATAAATAAAAATTGTGCCACACAGGAAATCTAAACCAGTAAACTTATCCTTTGTTCTAAGACAAGTAATTTTGCCTGAAAATAGTCCCTTATACAAACTGGAAATGATAGAAGAGAGTCAAATCCCAGTAAATCATAAACACCACACAAGAAATCTATATCAGTGAGCGTTCAAGACTTAATGAGACATGTATGTCTCTAGCTTTAGGGTGGACTTTTTGTAAATTTTCATCACACAGAATTTTGAATCATCTGTTTATTGTGTCAAGGGGTAAGCATGCCATGCGCATGCTTCATGTCAGCTTTTAACCGAAATCAATCCTATTTTTTATGCTTTCTAATGTGTTGACGGGAATCGTGAAACCTTTCCATAAAGACAATCCTCAGTACTCCATTGACGGGATTGACATTAGTTGGTATTAACCTGATGGTGCTGAATTTCCGCCTTACATCTACGAGGTAGAACTTTGAAACTTTAATTAGATCCATATAGATCACTGAGCATGTCAAGCTGTTTTGTAACTTAATTTTAGTCATAAAATCTATCAATTCTTAGAAATCAACTGAAGCAGTGATCCTCGTTGGTGAGCTACAAGTTAAGCAATTACTGGATAAAAGCCCGAGAAAAATTCAGGCTTCATTAGGATTCGAACCCAAGCCTCACGGATACTAGTAGGGCGCTATTATTAACTGAGCTACGAATCCAAAGGTTGGGTACGATAGGAATTTCAAGGGTTCCTCTTCTCCGTGGAGGAATAGCAGCTCACGTGCGAGAATCATTGGTTTACTTGATTTTCATCCGTAGGTCAAACAAAATTTATTTCGTTTAAGACTATGATCTGGGAAGTCTGTCACACTCGCATCCGATTGGCTCATGAAACATGAACCTGTCAAACAAGGTTTCAAACGTTTCAAAGGTGAACTTCATCTGCGATGGTCGTTTTCAAGTCGTAGACATTGGAAAATGCTGTAAGTACAAAAGTGACTTTTTTTTGATGAAACTGTTTGAATAGTTTGCCGTCATAGACCAGTACCATCTTGTTAGTCGAGAGAGAAACTCCCAAAGACATTGATGTGTTTGAAGCATGCAATAAGAGTGCTTAAACTACATTTCATTTGATCGCATGGCGGCAACACTTCGCAGGAATCGCTGCTGGTATTACGAAAACAGAAGGCGGCTATCGGAAGTTTGCTATCTCAATTTCCACGTGAGAACACAAGGCTGAATATATTTTCG